CAGTGCTCTCGAAGTCGGCGCATGTAGTTGCGTTGCAGTAAGGGCTGGTTCACGCTAACGGCAAGTCTGCCCTGACGGCATGGTGCCGCAGACGGGAGGCCGACGCCGTTCGCAGGACAGCTGTTCGAAGTGCGCGACAAGCTTCGCCGGCGACTCTTTTCAGCCTCCGGCAAACATGGCTGTTACTCCGATTGCAGTTGTCGACCACCTCATTTATCAAGCGCCCGCCGTGCGCTCTGTAGCTCGTAAGCTCCGAAGTGATGCTTCCATTCGCTTTATAGATTCATGTCCTTTAGCTTCTACCCTCACAGCAGTTGAATAGATTCGGCACCGTTTATGAGAGCCATACTCAAATAATTGATGTTGTAGGCTTCAGCAAGCTTTCCCAAAGCTTGGAGGGCATACATTACACGTTTTTAGTTGTTGATAATATTGGGCGCCACTTATCCAAACGCCTGCTTTGTGAGAAGTCATTTTGAATTGCAGTGCCCTTTTTTAAATACTGGACAGGCTAATGGAACGTAGTCTGGGAACAACACGTACGTCATTGCGTGAAAACGGCGGAGCAGTTAGAAGCAAGCAACTCAAAGTGTCCAGCGGCAGACGCAGACGATGCGGAGAGCTGAAAGCTAATGGAACGTAGTTTGGGAACAACACGTACGTCATAGCGTGAAAACGGCGGAGCAGTTAGAAGCAAGCAACTCGAAGTGTCCCGCGGCAGACGCAGACGATGCGGAGAGGTGAAAGCAGATGACGCGGCTCAGTCATGCCACTGCTCCGCCGCTGATTGGCTTCGTCACTCCTCGGCAAACGGCACGAAAAGGGGTCTCGGACCCTTTTTTGAACGGCGAAGAACGGCAGACATGCGCGAAGAAAACAGCCGTGCACAGCTGCCTGAGAACGTCAAACGCAACACGGCGAGGCATGCTTGCCGCTAGCGTGAACCGGCCCTTATATGCTTCTCCATTGGTGTCTCGTATAGCGCCACGAACGGCGTAGCGCTATCTCAAAACAGCGCATTTTTTACTGAGTTACCGTTGGATTTCGTTCCGACTGGTTGTGCCCCCGCCATCTCCGACGACAGCGCAGCTCTGGCCCACTGGCTCATCCTACGCCATCTCCTGACGCCGTGAAGCTCTCGCTGAGTGGTGACCCGTCCTCAGACTCTTGCGACCGTGCCCATGTTTGCTATCTTTTCCTTATTTCTGTATGTGGGTCTCTCTTTCCCTGCACCTATCTCTATCTCTATCCCTTTTATTCCTCCCTATCCATTTTAATACCTCCATACCCTCCTCCCTCGTGAGTGTTACGCGTAGGAGTCCACACCGAACGTCGATGCCTCTGCAAAGGCAATCTGTGTCCATGCCAGCGATCGAGCCCGCCTAACGCGATCAACTCAACGACGTCATCATGCGGCGGCGCCGGTCTGTCACGCAACGCACAGCAAGCTCCCTCAGCCCACGAGCCGATGAAGCAATCGGCGCCTTCCAGTCTGGCGAGTCTTACGCAATGCATGGCAACATCCCTCGTCCTTGGGTGCAACCACGCGCAGTGGCGGATCCCAGTTGGAAAATTCTGACATCGCGGCCAGAGGCGCTTTTGGTTGTACGTTGGTGATGCAAAATATCCACCCGGTGCCTATAAAAAAGTCAAAGCGGTGCGTCGCCAGCAGTTGACCTAGGCGTCAGAGAGAAGCCGACGTATTCGTGCGAGAGAAGGCATCTCGGCTCTTCGGCTCCCTAAGCTGTCGGCCCCAGTGCTGAATTCGTAAGGCCTCTGTTTCGATGCTGTACATAAATCTTACCTTAACTCACCGTCGTCTCGTCTATCAGCTCTGCGCAGAAGCAGTCGCGAGCTGAATAACACACGCTACCAAACGGCTGGTGACCTATACGGTGGAGTTCGGAGCAGTGGCGCCTTCGGGACCGTGTTGGCGTCGTGGCTTCGTAACGTGAGTCACTGTTGAGGTGTCTCACTCTGATGCAGACAGTTACGGAGCTCACTTTTCTCTTCTTTTCGCCCTTTTCAGAATTACTTACACTTACACAGCGTGACAGCCAACATTACGAACACGAGGAATGCAAGACGCCACACCACGGATCTGTACGCAACTGAACAAAGATTACTTAATTTGATTTCCATCACGAGACACTTCATGATGGGCTCTCTTAAAGCTCTGTACCTTATGACCTCTAAGCACTCACGAAGACAAGGCAATGGACAGAGCAGGATAGGGCTTGCGGAGATGGTGGTGAGCAGCTGGATCGGGAGTATCTGGCTGGCATTGGTGAAATAGAAGGGGCACTGCCCAGACCAATGGCTTCGTGGAGTGCTTCTCTCCTCTCATTCCGATGAAGGCGTTGGAAAGTAAGCAGGGAGGGATGCACGAGAAAGAAAATACTTCACGTGCGCCTCTATACTTTTCCTTTTTTTTTGTCTTCGAATATGCACTTTAGTGAAGTGCACCAAATTTTGTGACATCATGGCGTTTGGAGCAGGAATTTCAAGGTGGTGTCGCTACGAGCATTTTCTATCGGCGTGTTTTGTCGCTCATGGCGTCTGCTCGCGGCGAGCGCAGTGATATTGGATTTGTAAAAGACTGATAGGGCACTTTACTGATAACAGAAAAGCTATTTTTCCTTTTTAGTGTCCCTTTACGTCGTTCCTTACCCGAAATGAAGCCTGCATATCGGGTCCATTTCCGAAGGAGCTTCAAGCGCCGGCGCAGCTCAGTGGCAGAACACCAGTCTGCCACACAGAGGGCCCAGGTTTGATTGCTAGCCGGTCATCGGTATTTCCGATTTACTTAGTTTATTTATTATTTCGTAAGATAGTGGCCGGACAACTACGGCGCCAGCGACCCTTGTTGTGATCTCATAACAGCTTTCGCTGTAATATATGAAGCAGAGCGTCACGAAAATTAGGGGCTCGGGTTGATCTACCACTTAAGTCCGCAATGAGGAAAATAGAATTTAAAATGACGTTAGGGGTTGGTAGACGTGACAGGGCGACTATGTAGCTTCAATAATCATCATGAAGTGGGGTCGATTATCTTAGACTTGTGGCCAATATGCTGTTCCCGCACAGGACATTTTCGAACACAGCTACGGCAGCTTCTTCTTAATGCTTTCCTAATGTGAACTGAAATAAAGCATATGCATTCCACGGACGATGAAAAAAAGCGATGAGGAAGCAGTACAATTGCCATGGGCGCTTCATTTAATTATTTAATGTTGGCGGACTAAAAAGAAATTTGCGGGCAACACGTGTGATCAATATCAGGAATCACGCGTTTCAGGGAAAAGACTGACTTCGAGAAAATTGCATTTCTCGCCCGCGTTTCCACTGTCACGTTACGGCTCTTTTGTTGGGCCTGGCTGACGAAGGCTAGAAGTGAAGAGCCAGTGAGTGCAAACACGGGCAGAAAAGAGAAGTCGGGACATCAGAAACGCCATCAGCCGAAAGGGTGCGCTATGGAAGAAAAGAAAGAGGCACCAAAACTAAAGCATATCTCGCAAAGCAATGCATTGTCCGGGTTTGCACGCCTTGTCTTTTTTACTATCAACATCTACCGACTAGTTGAGCCCTCTGCATTTTTAAACGGGAAATAGCATAACAGACGCCATGCCTATTGAGGCCGGAAACAGCATTGCAGGGAGGCTACTGCCTTAATAAAACCGAATGCTTACGTAGTGAGGGAGTGTTATGCAATGCGAAACAGGGAAAAAATAAACAAAACAAAAGGAATGTAAGAAAGAAAGGAAAGATGTAAAAAATAGGACAATATTCGCTCCCCCCTGTTTACCCGACAAAATGAGTGTACCTGAACATCTTTACATCGCGTGCTTTTTCACATCGTGAATTAGGCTCTTCAATTTGGCCTTCTTCTTTCAGGTGGAACTGTGACTTCAAGTGACGCTCACTACACACGTAACTGCGCAGTAATGACGCAGTTGCCTTGTACGACCACCTGGGTTCTTGAACGTGCACTGAACCTCGCAGCACGTCTGCCTCGAATATTTGATCACTGAAATGTGACTGCCGGAATCAAGCTTGCGTCTTTCGAGTCAGAAGCCGAGCTCTGTGTATCCACCGTGCCGGAAAGTTCACGTCATATCAATGTAACTACTCCTGAGACTGTGATGCGAAAACGTTCAAATAAAGTAAGAAAATTTTGATGTATTCTCATAAGAGATTCAACCCTACGAGCGCGATCGTCTAAAATTCCAATTTGTTTCTGCAGCATTCATTGTGCTGCTATATCGGTTGAAGTGTGACTTTTTTTCAAAACTGTGGTGTTAACCAATTTAATTTTTCTGTGAAAAGGAGCACTCAATACCATATAAGGGCACCAACTTTTCTTTAAACAAATTTTTATTAACAAATATGATATCCTGTGTCGGCGCGGTATATCTGCAAAAAAATAAATAAAATAAAACAAAAGGAGGCACCTAATTGGCTCATGCAGTTTGCTACCGTGTATGTTGGTTAGCGATAAAGACGCTGATCACTTTATTTAATCCCATGACCCCATGTGCACAGAAGGCAATATTATAGCAAGTGCATGTTAGAAAAGAAACAAAAAAAAACGGCTCAGTATACGTTACACAAACATAAAATGAAATCGAGCATCATTGTGAGCAATGGCCGCACGATGAACGTCAGTCCAAAAATAATAAATAAGTACTTGAGTTGAGAAATTGATTGAAGGCACAGCTTAACACTTCTTCACCATGGCCGCATTTTATGAAGATTTTTTGTAATTCAGGTTGTAAATGACTCACTGGACGCGGTGGCAACCGCATCAGGCAAGTTGTTTCTTCGAAATATGTATGAAAGAAAAAAAAATTACAGGAACACTGTGCTGCCCTTTATTTCTCTAGTTTTTCTTACTGTTATTCGTCATTTAGAATATTAGGTATATGGAATGTTTCAAGTACTTCTATTCATCAATGTTGAGGTTGTCGGGGATAATTCATTAAGAAAGAAAAGCTCCAAAAAACTGATGACAAGATTCTAATGGATCCCAAGAGAAACATTTTGCGAGGATGGTGGGTGGTAAGATTAACCGCGGAGCGCTGTGGGTTCAAATATGCGTGCTCATTAATTTTGATGGCATCTTTCAAAGACGTGCACCCTGTGAAGCAAGCACCAGAAGCAGAATGAATTGCAGCCGTAGGTCCCATCATCAGACGCTTCAAGAAGTGCGCATCCCAAGTGGTAGATTTATTTCGTTCATTCTATAGCCCCAAGCATGCTCATGGATGATGATTTTCCACCTTCTTTTCTTTTGCTGTGAGATACACAGCTTATTCTTTTTTTTCCCTGTGCACGCGTCTTTCAGTTCGAGCGCCGCGAGCATGGAACCAATGAGGAGCAGCGGCGGCGGCTTGCCGGGGTGCCGATTCTAACCACTAGACGTCAGTGGCGGCACAAACCCGGCCAGGACGGCAGGGGCACCGTGCCACGGGTGGTGTCACTCTCTGCGCGGTGAGCAGCATTGTAGTAGACGAAGTGCCCGAGTAGGAGGTCTTGGCGCATAACCGCAGAGGACGAGTGGCGCTGCCGGCGTTCGGTCCTGTGGTCAGCGTAAGCCGGGACCGTACCGACCATCCTGCGATCGGAAAGTAATGGGTCATTGGTTAAAAACGCGCAACATATGACGACATCTATACCATAGAAAAGGGTGGTCACGAAAAAACACGACCATATAGCTGAATTACCGCGCTTTCGTCATTGGTTACCATTTCCTATCACTTACACATATTGCTCAGAAATTACACACTACATGTACAGTAGACGTATCCGTGGCGAACGCAGCCTGAATTTCTTTCAAAAAAGCGAAAGAAGGGGGAGGGGGGTCTGACTATACACTGTGGTATTCCTTTCCTAGTATACGCACTTTTGTGCTCTTACATATGTTTGTGCGTGTGCTTGTATGTGCGGGCGTATAAGTACACATACAAACTGTAAAACTATCGGGCGTACGGGGGTTGAATTTCAAAAACTACCCACTTGGCTACGCAACTTGTCTCTGTTAAGACGACTTTCTCAACAAGACGTGTCCTTTTGTCACAAATACTAAATTTTTTCGGAATCTAAGAATGTAGACGCGTACATGCGTTGGTGAAGGCATCACTACATCATCGGGTTTCTGAAATAGTTTTTTCGTGATCTTTGGTTTTGGTTAAAACGAGTAAACTTTGGCAACAAATTAACTGTCAGGGAAATGCGGCTGACGTGCTAGGAGGATGAATGGAGGCAGAGGCCAGCCTTCTCCCCAATCATTTTCCACGGGTGTAAATAAATGTTATTTCTTTTTCTCTCTCTGTCTTTGTGACAAAGGAATGTGAGATGGCTCCGTTCCGTTCATAAATATTTTGCCATTTAGACAGTTTCGGCGTATCGCACGAAATTGGGGAATCTGTTTAAGGCAAAGCAGTCAGCGAGGCCACTCTTTCAACCAAGTCTTACGAACGAATAAACGTATTTCAGTAAAATGAGTTGACGTGTGCATAGTGTGACCTTTCTAGGTACTACATTGGCTACACGGGCTTCTGCAAAGTAGCGCACTGTTTCGCCTAATGACAGCTTTCGCATTACAGAACAGATGTCGCTTTTATAGAAACGTTATGTAGGCAGCGCTCGTTGGCGCATTCTTGCGCGCGGGCACGAGCAAAGCCAGACCGCACAGATTCTTTTGTTGCGCCATGGAAGTACATATATAAGCGTGTACTACATTAATATCCCCAGCTCTAACGAACGGTACGCTGTCGTCTTGTTCAGCGCTGGTATGTCCGGTACGTCATTTCTTGTCCGTCTGGCTAACTCTGTCTGGCGACATGTCACCACCGGAAGTTGTAAGTTTTTACGCTGGTTCTTCGTTACATTAAGCTCCTTGCGCTGTGGCTCAGTCCCTTCGCCGTCGTCGTAGCCACCCCTTACTTCTCCCAATGTTCACTAGATGACGCTGCGTTGTTGCAGTACTCGAGGCGATCACTAGATGGCGGTGAGGCACACGCACGCACGCACCCGCACGCACGCACGCACACACACACACACACACACACACACACACACACACACACACACACACACACACACACACACACACACACACACACACACACACACACACACACACACACACACACACACACATGCACGCACAGAGAGAGAAACAGACAGAGGCGTCGGAGATGTGTGCCCGACAAGCGGCGGTAAAACGCACACAAAGACAGGCGGATACCGAGCTGAGAGGCCGCGAAGCTTCGCCCCTCTTATCATCATTCACTCCATAGCTATGCTGTGATTTTTTTTTCATATCTGCCCATAGCAACGGCCCACAGTGCTTCTAAATGATTTACGAGCACTTGTTATTTTCACTAAAATCTTCAGAAGTCAACCTCAGCTCCTGTTTCGGTACAGACCTGTACAGCTTGGTACAAAGGCTGCATGCAGCTTAATTTCTTTTAGCAGCGTGCATACACTGGCAGTAAAAAAAATCATGTTATTATTTTTCTAGATATTTGATTATGACCTCAGAGTGCCGATGGCTTTGTGGGCAGATATTCTATGTCATAATGAAAGATTTCATTGTCATCTACAGAATAAATAAGACCACGTTCAAAATGTGAGCATTTTTTTTCGGGTTTTTTCGTGGGGAATTAGTGAGGCAAGGTGGACCGTAACTCAGCGCGATTACAAAGAGAGCTCAGTACCTCAGTACTAGATTAGAGCTTTATCAATGAGTGTCCCTTGTTTATTATGCTCCACGAACACTAAGCATGAGAATGTGCACTCAAAAGCTAGTGTCCCAAGAAAACGCTCTGTTCGTAAAAGTTTTCGTCTGAGTATGCGCTGAATTCTTCGATTAAGTGCTTCGCAAGCTGGGTGTTGACTTTTCATGAAAGCTAAATGATTACGCTTTAGTGTCAGCTTAAGGTAACCAACGTGCTGTCTTTCAAGTTGCAGGCAACAGACCACCAAAGACTTTTCACTGAAGGTGTTCTTATTTTGACATTGAGGCTTTATCTCCTACGCTCATTGGCACGCGTACCGAGACGTATATGTGTACAGAGAAAGGCTCGCCTGCCTTACATGTGGTGTACGTGGTGGTTGGTAAATAACGCGGGTATATGCGCTTAACAATTTCTTTACTTTTCTACATACCCAACACGCTGGTGAACGCGTTTTATTACCTGAATAAAGACAACCTATCGGTGGTGCAACAAAAGGCGTTCTCACGTGCTTCTCAGCCAAACTCTGTCGCGTCAGAAAAAGACGAGAAAAAAAATTTTCGGCGCTCTCTTGCGTTATCCTCTGTGACTTAATGGCTTGCAGATAACGATGTGAGCAATGTTAAACGTTCGCTTTTCCCACTCTTCCTCATCCTTCATAATAATGGTATACTGGCTCATGCCGCGTCGTCAGTGATGACGGTTTTCTCTACACAGGACACGTGCCATTGCGTGCCATACGATATTTATGCATACGATATTTATGCATGTGCATCCTATTTATGAATACGTCGTATACGTCGTTCGTTCTGCAGTCGAAGCTCACCAGCTTGCAGGTTTTACACTCTGCAAGACGCGATGATCCCTCCGGGAGCTAAGAGAAGCACGAGCCCCACTTGTTTGTCTATGTATGCATATAGTCATAAACACCAGATTACGTGATAAAAATCAGAGCCCCCATCATTCACCCCCTTTCTGACTGTAGGCCTGAGTTACGTCCTCCAAACAGGAGGTGTTTAAAACAATTTCGCATGAACCACCAGTAGTGACGCATAAAGTGGATCACAGAATCACGGCTTTGAATACACGATCAAGTTTACAACCACGGAGTTTTCGGAGCTCTGAACGACGAGAAGAAACGGGAAGCTGCAGAGAAGACTAGTCTATATCGGACTCGGCAACCAAGGCAACGCTGCGACAAATAATTGTAACGCCCCTTCAAGAGATGCTTTATCGCTAGAATACTCCTAATAAATACTGTGCGAGTCATATATGTCATACCCGCGGCCTCCTCGCATCGTTCAAGTGGCCCGAACTCTTCAGACCCGAAAAGAGTGTGCCATGAAGGATGCGTGCTTAGACTCTACAGGAATGCAGAGGAAGTAATATATCTATGCATCCATACGTAATAGGTGCACTAATGACTACTTTTCTTTACCCACTGCTGCAGCTCAGCGGCTGTGGCGCTGTGCTTCCATACATGACATCACAGAATTCAATTAGACGGTTTTCGGTGAGTTAAAATTGAAGAAGGCTTGCACACCATTCATTGTGTGCTCGTTTATTTACCCCAGGTGACAAAAGCTATTTAGGTGGACCTCTAATTCATTCTTGTATTTTTTATCCACAACAGCGTGTCACATTGCTATGGCTCCGTGTTTGAGTACGTAGACCAGAATGTATATATTTCCACTCTTAAAACTCCAAAAATTTTTCATTCTATTGGAAAATAAAACAGTCGCGTAGATACTGCTACGTTCGACAAGTAGATGAGACTGACCAGGAATACGAGTAGAAACAGCTAGGCCGATTCGGAAGTCGAACTAGCGAACTGAAGTTTTCTCCAAGTGAGACAGCGGTGTACCTTAGCCATATTTGCGAATGTTTTAGAGCACGAGGTTAAACCACATTAAAGCGAGATTAAAGATAAATAGAAATATAGTAGTAGCTACAATGAAGCCGCCTTCGAATTAGCAGGCTCAGAGTACTAAACAAGCCTTATGGATATGAGCTATACGTATATTACGGCGAAACTTTTCAGTCCCGCATATTACACATGTGGAACGTGATCATGTGGTGGCGTCAATTACACTTGTGTGGCAAAAAACAAACAAACAAGAAACGTCGTCATCAGACTCATCACCATCGCTAATAACAATGACGCTGATCCTGAAAAAAAAACATGTGACAAAAATTAATATGACCTCCCTAGCTACTATGATGGGGATGATGACTTGCGATAAATACAGAGACAGATACATAATATTAGAATTAGGCAGAAAGTTATAAAAGTAGACAGGAATCGACAGAATTTCTCACAGTTAAGAAAGGTTTGATAACAAATCATAACTCTTTATCAAAGTATAAAAGCCATATAGAGTCACGCAGACATAGAAAAGGCAATGGGACGTGCATAAAACTGATAAGGACTGACAAGGAATAATAAAATTTATATAAGTTATGGTAACATGAGACACATTAACGGAAGCTAACAATGGCAAACGAAATGAAATCAATGCGTAAGGGCCTTCACTGTCAAAGTCGCATTAGGAATTGATAACCAACAACTCTGCGTCCTTCAACTTAATCGTACAAAATAGTTGCTCAGGCAATTTTTAATCCTAGCATATTCACGCAATTCCAGTGGGGTGTTCTTCCATCTCTCTTCATCCAATTACTTTCTTTTCCGTGCGTCGTTATTCTTGTGAGCAGCGCTGCGCCCGGTATTGCGAGCGTCAAGCTGGCCGGTCGAATACGGTGGAGGCCCTCAAAATTATAGGGTGAGAACGATGTGGTTCTTCCCTGCGCCACCACGTTGACGTCATCGTCCGCGAAAACAGCATTGCGAGCTGCAAAAATGAGCGCATGGTGATAC